CAGGTAAACAGAGTAAGAAGCAAGGATCTCTCGGACAAATACTCTCTAAGGTATTTATTCTCATGCTCCACTCCCTTCGTTGTATGACACCCGAAGAGCACAACCCCTTTCTGCCTGCGAGCAGCCCAATAATCTGCGTAGTTCAACCACGTTGCAAGCAAATAACGGTAGCACTCAGGGTTGCACAATTTCACCGCAGTTAGTAACCTAGCAACGTGGCACACATCACGACTGCAGATTAGATTATGCAATCTCACACTTAATTGCATTTTCCGAGCAACGGATATCCCACGTAACGGACTGCAACGTCAATTCATGTCACATTTTAAATTATAACGGCAAAATACAATCCTTGCATTTGGATACCAACGATTGAAAGTGTTCAGCCGGGCGGGACATTTATCTATCACTAGAGTACGGCAATGCTTGGTGCTGGGCACCAGCTGCAGCATTGCGTAAACCGCCTGGCCCTAGCTGCATGAGGTTTTCTCCGCTAAAGGGGCGTGGAACAAGGATATTCCTAGACTACGCTCTGAACAAACATGCAATGCCATAGGATGCATCCACCCTAACTCAACTGGTGGGTTGCATCTAACAAACGCACCTAACCATACCGTTTCACGCTGAGGCGCAGCCCAGATGAAGAAAAATTACTTACGAAATCTTCCTCCCTTCAGCCACCAATTGGCAAACTCCATGACGTCCTTAACTCGATGCAACGTCTGTACCTTCACATGCAGTCTTGGTCTGATTATGTATTCGCAAATTACTAATATTCTTGCGCGTGACACGCCGTACTGGTGGAATATGCACCGTCGCAATTCCGATGTGTTCGGGAATCTTTCCATCAAACTTAGAACCTCCAACTCTTGTCCCAGTGAGAGCCGACGGTTAGGTGAATATAACCACGGGTTGCCAAGAGGAAAACTACTGAGTGTGAACAATGTAGAATTTTCAGACAACATACCTTCCCTCCTGCGGAAGCAGGGAGAAGCGGGCTTTACAATCGTGCGATTTGTATCTACCTGCACTCGTTAAGGTACTTGATTACTATGAACACTTACCGTTTGCCAAGAGATCCTATCAGTTTGCAATGCACACAATGGTACTGGCCGTAACCGGAAGCAACTCTATCTAGCAATTCCATTCCGCTTTCAGGCCGGTATGCTGCGGCGGACACCTATGTAACTCAGAACATACAAGTCACCATTTCCATTTGATAACGTCCCAACTATTCCTCCAGGTCTTCAACCCTGTCATACTTCGCCGCAGCAATAGGTCGGAACAGCTTACGGTCAGCTACAATCATAGTAGCAGCTGCACCACCAAATATGGCCACTGTAAAATAAAACAAACCTCATACACATGAACCCTTATCCATAACGCTTTATATTGCCACACATTTCGTTGTACTAAACAATTTCCTGACTAGTTTCCCCTATTGCGCACTTAGCACCCTTGACAACGTTGCTAGGCTACACCGTCGCTGCGTAGCATTTGTACCACCGAACTTCCTTAAGCAGCAGCTTTTCATCAACGTGTGGGACCATTGAGTCCGCCAATAGCGAAAGTTTGAGTACGGGCAATCCAGTGGAGCGTCAGGTCCGCAATTGGCGATCAACAACAATTCGACAGTGTGATTGTGGTAAACAAGGTTGTTATTTGATGAAGGAAAATATTGGGTTATGGGTGCATGTTTTTGATTTTTATTTAGTCAAGGTCGTTGTGAATATGCCAAGGGGAAAGTTATAAATCATCTTACGAAACGATTTAATTGCGTCACGGTGGTTAAGCATTTTCCCGCTGCTAGCGACAATTGCTATAGTGGATGACTCCAGCGCCTTTCGATGTCACTTCAGTGGTCCACATCTGCACTATTCAGCTATCCTTGAGGATCTTAAGCGTTTTCAGATGCAAACGGCGACGGCGTTTATTCGTCGGGGCGTTATTACTGCAAAAGCTTACAAAAGGAAGACTGGACAGGTGCTACCGGAAGGAGGCCAATGGCGAGGTATTCAGTTTCTGTGCGTACATGGCAAGCGATCAAACGTCGCTTGCAAGCGCTGTGTTTGGTATCCGTCTGCTATTTGGTTAACAGTCACCGGTGTTAAAATTTCCTGCTCGGTTCTCCGCGGTATTGAAGGGGATGTTACGAGATTAGATAAGCCTGGCTTCGTTATTCGCACAATTTTCACATGGGGAAGCCTTGTCTGTATGAAAAAATATCGCCGGATAACAGCGGAACAGGAAAGCTTGGTGCTAATCACGATGAAGACGTTACGTCGGACGCAGGCAAATGCGCGCATTTGTGCGCCTTCAGTATAACATTCCTTTAACTAGACGACATTTTTATGAGATACGGCGGCGTCATCGTAAGGCTTGTGTTGCGGAAGTGGAGGTGGTTACGCAGCCATTGCGAAGAAATGGTCAAGTGAAAATAACGCATGAAAAGCATGAGACTCGCTACCTCGTTTTCGTCCATTCGCGCATGCTGGAATTGGTGGGCCAATGCGGGGAAGTAAGTTTGGCCGACTCCACGTATCAGATCAAGTACTGTGGTTATATCCTGTGGTACTGTATGTTTGTGGACGTCAGCAGCCTTGGTATGAGCTTCTTTTATGCGCTGTTGCCCAATGAGACTAAGGCTACCCACCAAGAGGCGGTGAGAAGTATGCTGAAGTTGGCCCACGGGATAACCGCGCTCGAACGCTGGTTATGGACAATGCGTGGCGCAGGTGAATGTGTTTCGCAAAGCGTATTCCACTGCTAATGTCGTTTTCGGCCGGGTATACATTATGCGACATGCAGCAGCGTTGTGCTCACATGCCCTTCTGTAACACGATGGATACATGGGCTCTGTTCAACATGCTGCGATCCTTGTTGTATATGCGCGATTGTGCGCATTATCATTGGCTTATGGGGATATATCGGTGCGCAGCGCGGAACGCTTCCATTACCTCCGTCGCACGTTTATCCGTAGCGGCATAACTGGGCATCGCATTTGACGGGCCACGTGGTGTTATTTAGGTGCAACAGCACCAATTGCTTTGTACATTGCAATAAGCATTTGAAAGAAACTTTACGTGAGCAGCCCACTGTGCTGCCTCTGTTTCAGGTGATAGTGAAGAGTTAAAGTGGAATTTTAGAGGAGAGGGAAACCGTCCTTACAAGAGATAAGCTAGGTATGGGCGCGGTTGAGCATCGTGGAACCAGTGGGCCGTCCTGTTGAGGGTGATGTCGTCATACGACCGGCGGCAGTAGGTGCCGCACAGTCTAAGAGTTTGCACACACGGTGTGCACCCAAACGGCAGGCATTCGCTAGTGGATGACGAGCGCCTGGGCATGCTGTGTGTGGTTATACAGAATGGCAGTGCACGCGGATGTCGGTTTAATCATCTGTGGCGCTTCCATGTGGGCACATTGTGCAGGTTGCATGCCTGCATGCTTGTGAACATGAGGTTATGCTTCGTGGTTGCATTTGAATGCTGCCAATAAAAAATGTGTGAGATATATATAAACATTGGAGATATAAATGTTGGAGAAATATATTAGCGTATCAGCATTTTACAACTTCTCATTTAAGCATGGTAGAGTACAGGTTCCAGCTTTTTGGAAGTCGTGGCGTCATTATCAGCACACGAAATAAATAATCCTAATAAAACTTATACATTTAAAAAACGCAGAACGCAATTGTCCTGATGAGTAGTGGCCTGTAATCAATAGCAAGCCACTGGCGGACTCGACAGTCCCGCAATCAGACTGTCCTCGTCCGCCTGTGTGCTTTGCATCATCCATTTCCCTGGCTAGAGCGTCAGCGGTGCCAAATTTATATCCAGGTAATCGGGAACATTTCACTGTACCAGTAAAAGTTAGCCTGTCACCCTATCTGCCTTTTCAGCTCACTCTCTGGACTCCCGCAGCAGGCTACTCGATAGCGGAATCGTTCGGTCGCTATATATCAGGTTCGTCCCTCCTCAAGGAAAAGTTGGAAAAAGACGGATATATGGGCGAGATAGAGGTTTATTGTCAAAAGTACAAACCCGCTAGCTAAAGGCACTGGAAAAACACTATAGCTAGTGGAAAGCTATAGTCGCTTGCCGTGAGGCAGTAAACGCCCTTCTAGGCGGAAAAGCCAGAATGGCGCGAATGATAGGCTACGCGACGTTGAGCAGCATATCGAAGACATTTCGGTGAAAGGCAAGTTGGATCACTGGACACGGATGTGCGGTAGAGTCGGCGCAGCTTTTTGTACCTGTACACGAAGGAAGCGGTGTAGGTAACAAATTTATCATGGACACTTCGCAGGATGAATTAAGTCTTTTTCGGCTTGCTGAGCAGCGGCCATAGCTGACAGATCGAACGACTGATCAGTGGGAGAAAGGGTGATTAAGCTTGAAAACGTGTCCGCCACGACGTCGTCTTTGCCAGACACTTGTTGGACGTCCGTTGAAAACTGAGAGACAAAATCCAGATGATAAACCTCACGCGAAGGGTGACAGGGCGAAGGGTTTAGGGAGGCATGGACGAGTGGTTTGTGATCTGTAAAGATCGTAAAATGATTACCTTACAGAACCTGTTGAAAATGGTAAACGGCGGAAACGTGCTGTATTTCGACTCGGCTGTCCGAAGAAGTCGGAAGAAGAACGCTAGTGGTTGCCAATTACCTTGGGAAAACTGCCCTAGAACAGCGCCGATTGCGTTTTCCGGGGCCTCGACGGCTACGCTGATTGGTGCGTTCGAGTTGAAGTGATGAAGCATGCCGGCGGAAACAAACGCTTTTATGCTAGCTTTGAATGCTTTAGTCCTTCAGGCGTAAAACAGCTTGACCGCCGTTGCGTTTACGCAAAAGATCGGTGTGCGGTTGCATGAACGCGGCGCAGCTTGGCAGGAATCGGCGGTAGTGCTTGACCATGCCCTTGAAGCGTCGACTGGCAGCTAGAGTCGTTGGATGAGGATAATCACAAATTGGCTGTACTCCGTCTGTGCAAAGGGTGCATACTCTCAGAAGCAAGTTGGTGTCCAAGAAAGTCAATGCGCGGCTGCATGAAAATGCACTTGTCGGGGTTGGTCGTGACGTGCGCCTTCAGCCGTTCGAACAAGAGTCGTATATGTGTTAGGTGATCCTCTTCCGAAGAACTGGCCAGCAGTATGTCGTCGATGTACGGGTGGACTAATTCGTGCCCACATACCACGGAGTCGCGGAAGGGTTAAAATGTCTGCGCGGCGTTGCACAGACCGAATGGCATTCATAGAATCTCAAATAATCCAAATGGCGTAATAACGGCGGTATTAGTTATGTCCTCGTCGGCGACCGGGGTCTAATGGTAAGCTCGCACCAGGTAGATATTTGAGGACACACGAGCGCCGTGAAGACTTGTCACAATATCCCGTATGTAAGAAATATGATGACTATCCGGAATTGTCACGTTGTTGTGGGCGCGGTAATCGCCACATGGTCGCCAATATTCTGACATTTTCGGGACCAAGTGAAGGGGCGAAGACCAAGTGCTTATGAACGACGGGACGATGCCAAGTTTGAGCATGGGCTCGAATTCCGCACGGGCGGTTCTCAGCTGGTCCGAAATCAGCCTTTGGCCTTTGGCACAGACGGGCGGACCTTTGGTAACTAGGAGATGCGGAGTAGCTGCGGCTGCAGTTGTCAGAAACGGTGAAGGTCGGAAGACTTCAAGGAAACTCTCAAGTAGCGCTTTTACCGGCCGGCGAGTTGGCAGTGGCCTACATCGGACGTAGCGATACTACATCGATGAATATTCCAGCGACCGCAAGTTTCTTTGTCTGATGGATGAGACGATCTCATTTAGCCATAACGAGCAAGTCGAAGTGCTGAAGAAACTTCATCCCGATACTAGGATTTTGGATTTTAGCGACAAGGAATACCCATCGAAATGAGCGTCGCAGGCCAAGGTAAGCGTGCGCGAGCGCTAACCGTATGCGCGGATGCTGGTGCCGTTGGCTGCGCGTAGAAAACAAGTCACCATTCCGGTTGCGTCATTGGGATCACGTGGAAGGACGCTGAATTCCGCGCCACTGTCGACGAGATAGCCAACTCCCGTTTGTCGACCGGTGACGAAGAATAGGCGACGGTGTTGACCAGCTACCTTCGTCGTCCCTACGTGCCGGTCAGGCTTGTACCCTTGCGAGTTGCGACTGAAGGGACACAGTGGGCGGCATGACTTGGCCTGCTGCCTAAATCGCAGATGGTACCAGCAGTAGGAAGACATCAAGCGCGGTAATTTCGAGGGTGGTTTTGATCGAGATGGACGTTTACGAAGTAAAGAACGACATCGGCAGCTACTTCCAGAAGTTGTGACATCAGTAAAATACTTAGTGAGTGCGGCAATCTGCGCGTTGATCTCGGTGATATCGTATTTGGAGTAGATCAAACTAGCGAACTCTGGCCGTAGGATTCCCAAATTTGGTCCGCGATATCGGCCATTAGCTAAGGGATGCGCCAGCATTTGCGTAGAGGATATTGCACCTTTCACGTGGCAATCTACTCAGCCACATTCCCTTGAGCAGTGTGTCGTTCACCATGTCGGGTTTGCCTAAACTGTATTTTACGCAATAGCTGCGATGGTTTAAGGTCACCCAACACCGTTTCGCTCAAAAGCTTCGTGATACGTTGCCGAGCTGAAAGACCTTCCCTTCTTGAGAATAGTGGCTATACGTTCCTCCTAATCTTTCTCCTTGCTATAAACTCGAGGATATCGTCGATGTCATCGGCGACATGCGGAGGAAGCGCGGAGACGACGTGATGATATTTGATTCTTTCAGAGCTAATGCCATGAAGATAGAAAAAAGCTCCCAACTGCGCAAACCAATGTGTTGGATTGCTTTCGCGAAAGGGCGGAGTGGCGATGGTTACACTTTCAACCTGGCGGTCGAGGACTAGGTGACACATATCCATAGCAGAATAATGCTCTAAAGTAAGCGACATAGAACCCGAAATAGGCAAAAAATATGAAGATGGATGGATGTACTGTGGGACAGAACGAACCTGGAAAGAAAAGTTAGTAAATGGCTTACCAAATTTTTGAGGGCGGGGAATCCTCCGTAATAGTTGAAGCGCTCGGTTGCCATATATCTGTTTCGTCCCGCCTAAAGGAAAAGTCGGAAAAAGACAGATATATGGGCGAGATAGGGGTTTGTTGTCAAACGCACAGCCCAGTCAGCTAAAGGAACCGGAACGGCGCTCTAGCTATTGGAAAGGTTTAGTCGCCAGGTGAGAGCCAGCAACTTCCCTTAGAGACGGAAACGCCAGAAGCGCGCGAATGAAATTCGGCTAGATGATTCGTACACACGTAGTCATCGTGTGAACAGGCAAGCTTCCTAAGTTATTTATGTACAAAATGATATTATATTTTTATAATACATTACACAAACAAAAAGGAAAATCTCCAGGTCATTACAACTCGTTAAACCGAACGGTACTTTTTAGTTTCACCATTTAGGCCCGCTACTATCCCCTTAACGCAGTAGGGCCGCGGCGGTTGACATCAATAAGGCTGCAAGTGGACGCCTAGGGCTCTACAGACAGCAAATCACTTTAGCTAGCTGTGGTGTTGGTGCTGTGCATGACGCTGCTGGTTGTGTGACCAAAGAATACTCCTCTATCGTGGCCTCCCATTAACACGCGCGTAGGTTTTGGCTGACATTTTACAATGCGCGCCATGGCGCCGTTTTTTAATTTACGTCAGGTGCTGGCTGAGAACATATTGTGGCGGGCGAAGAAAGCAAATACTGTACAGTCCGAAAATATGTAATATACGATTTGTTAAGAACTATTTCCCGCTCATATGCGCACAGTACAGCGCCATGCGTGTCGGCATTTAACAGGAGAAGAGGAAACGGTGGAGTGTTAACCTAGGGGGACTTACAGAAAATGCATAAGGGCGTACGGGGTTGTGCTGTCGCTTTTTTATTGAGTGGCCCATAATCTGTTAAAAATATGTGCAGCCGGTCGCCAAATATCTTAGGGTATAGCAAGAAAAAAGCAGTCGGTGATGCGTTAACATATACAGAAATTTGGTAAGACGTATAAGAGCGGGCGGGGTTAGGCTGCCTTTTCTGAGCGACCGAAAATTACTCTTCTGAGCGCATGTTTGGTTGCCTCTGTCACACGTCGGATGGCTCGGTTACTCATGCTTATAAGGGTGGTGAGCCGACGGTCCATCTCCAGCCTACTAGAGCCTGTCCTGGTAGCACGCGACCTGGCGTACTGTGAAGCCAAGGTCACGGCGTGCGTGTCGTGTTTCACGGAGGGACCGCATAAGCATACGCGCGGTTTCAAAATCGGGGTGATTCCTCAAGGTGCAATTGATGTAGGGATCTAGGAAACAATGGTGAAATAGTGCAAAATAAACGTGGAATATTATCATTCAGCAGATCCAGCTACACAACAAGCATCCATGCGACATATATTAGATTAACTAAAATGTTCGTAACTATCGTAAAATCGAAATGGAACACAAACGCGGTGCATTAATTTCAGTTTGACAATGAAAAACTAATTCCTGCAGTGGAGAGAAGCGTAGGCCGGTTTATTGGTGTACCGTAACAAAAACTTATTGATGGCAATTGCATGTGTGATTGTGTACTTTTGCGCTTATCCTTATATGTTTGCGTCATTAACAGTGTTAATTAAAATAGGAATCGAAATGCCTTGTTATATGTTGCATAAAAGACTGCATGGAATTATGGATGCACACACCTATGAGTGTATGTGCATATAATGTAAGCGTGTATGCACAAATATAATCGCATGAATATATATATATATATGATTGCAAACGTAACATATATATTAATGCATTGGCATAGGAGTTAAACGTACACACCTTTAAACATATCTATTGTTATGTACATCTCAGGATATCTTGCAAACTTCTAGTTGAAAATGAATTGTAAAATACTCGAGAAGAACTTGCAAATGATTATGCAGACTAACAGGTCTATGTGATTGTACGTCTTGAAATATAGTGAATAGCGTAGTTAGGTTGCGCGTTTCATGGATTACATTACCTAATTAGTGTAATAAAAAGCCATTGAACTTTCAGGGGACCTACACGTATGACTTTTATGAAGCATGTGCAATCACAATGTTAAATAAATAAATAAATAAATAAACTTTTATTCTCGACAAGGCGAGGCACACCTTTACAGGCATGATCATGCTTAGCTAACATAGTGTGATCAAAAATGTACGAAAAGTACATGTTTGGCATAACAGTGTATGTAAGCGTATGAGTGTATATACGTATGTAATTTTGTACGCATGTAGCTTGTGTCTTTGAATATGCCGAAGCACTTTTGACTGTTTGTTATCCTCAGGAATGTGAGCATAAGCAAATGATGTCTGCGAGTTGGATAGCACTTTCCGGATATCCAGCGAGTATGGGTGTATATACATATGTAATTTTGTATGAATGTAGCTTGTGTCTTTGAATATGCAGGAGCATTTTTGACTGTTTGTGATCCTCAGGAATGTGAGCATAAGCGATTGATGTCTGTGGGTTGGATAGCATTTTCCGGATATCCACAGGCCAGTGACTTTATTTTGTGGCGAGTCACATCCGCCACGTCGCAGTGTTGTTAAACAGACATTTGTGGCTTTTTATAGGGAGAACGCTTGCCAGGCGAAAACCCACCACGTCCTGGAACACTGCCGCCGAACTATTTGCTGAAACGGGTTAAACCCGAACCACCCAGCTGGCACCACAAGGTTGTTCGGCTAGCCA